TCCATGGGTTGATTGTTCTCCCTGTCAGGAAATTCCAGGTTGAATCTCTCCTTGGTCAGTTTCCATCCATTCTTCCTTGTCTGGTGCCTTGGAGAATAGCTTGACCCCCTTCCTCCTCTCTAGGGCAGCCCCTCAAATATTGGAAGATGCTCTCCTGTCTCCCCTGGTCCTTCTCTTCCCTAGACTAGCCAGGCCCAGTTCCTGCAACCGTTCATCGTCTGTTTTAGCCTCCAGTTCCCTAATCATCTTGATTGCTCTTCTCTGCCCTCTTTCTAGAGTCTCAACCTCCCTTTTTATAGTGTGGTGACCAAAACTGGACGCAATATACTATCTGGGGTCATATCAAGGCATTATAAAGTTCAATTTAACAGAGTTGGAAGGGATCTTGTAGGTCATCTAGTCCAACCCCCTGCCCAATCAGGAGACCCTACGCCATTTCTGACAGAGGGCAGTCCAGTCTTTTCTTGGAAGTCTCCAGGGATAAAGCTCCCACAACTTCTGAAGGTAATGTCTGATCCACTGGTGGATTGTTCTCACTGTTAGGAAATTCCTCCTTGTTTCCAGGTTGAATCTCTCCTTGTTCCGTTTCCATCCATTCTTCCTTGTCTGGTGCCTTGGAGAATAGCTTGACCCTCTTCCTCCTCTCTGTGGCAGCCCCTCAAATATTGGAAGATTCTCTCCTGTCTCCCCTGGCCCTTCTCTTCCCTAGACCGGCCATGCCCAGTTCCTGCCACCGTTCTCGTATGTTTGCTCAATGAACGGTTGTAAATCAAGGACTCGCTGTGTTTCCGACGAGCCCCGTTTCATGCAGCATTTCCAAGCCTGCTGGCCGGAATCCCCCTCCCCTGAATCCCCCTTCGAGCACAGTAAACGCCAACCTAGCTGGAGAACATCCCGACTGCAGACTTAGTGAGAAGATAATGGAGAAGATAAAAAACTACAACTCCCAGAAGCCCACGCAGCCCTGGCAGATCAGCTGACTCCCAGGTTTCTCTCCCCTCCCCTCCCACTTACGGTGCATTGGAGAGATTTCAGGCTATTGGCACTAAAAGGGCAAAAAAAAACCCTCCTCCTCTTCTCCCGGCAAGCGAGACCAGGGCGAAGTGGCAAAGGGCACGGTCTAGAAATTAAATCTCCCATCGTCAGGGAGAGAAAATAATAATAATAATTGCAGGGTCTGCCCAGGAGGATTTGGCAGGCATAAAACACATGGCCGAAGCAGGGTCAAAGGTTGGCGAGGCAGCTTTGCAAAACTCCGCAAGAAGAGAGCGAAAGCGGAGAAGCAGGAGAAGATCCAGAGATCAGGTCAGGCAGATCCCTCTTTGAGTCCAGCTTCCTCCCTTCCTTCCTTGCATTAAGGGAGAATCTCCACCAAAGATTTCACCTGGTGTCACAATCGATCAACCGATCAGAATGGAGCTGGAAGGGACCTTGGAGGTCTTCTAGTCCAGCCCCCTGCTCGAGCAGGAGACCCCGTACCATTCCAATCAATCAGAATAGAGCTGGGAGAGACCTTAAACTCTTGGCTCCCGAGTTTGTACCTCCCAGTCCTCGGCTTAACGACCGCGATGCTCCACGACAGAATACTCTTCATATTTAACACAATGAACAATCTTATAGACTTTTAGCAGTAATGACACATATTTTTTGGATTATAATCATTCCTTAATTATTCAACATTTCAGTATATTATTTTTTATGCCCATCTCCCTATTCTTGATATCACCCCTCTTACTACTGATAAAATACCAATTTGTTATGTTTAACAAACGTATATAATTCGAACAGTAACACACAGACTTATATTGAGTTATAATCTTCCCCTTTCTAATTTTTTAGTTATGCCACCATTGTATTTAAAAAAAAGATCCCCAGTGCCGTTGTAACTTGGAGCGGTTGCTAAATGAACTGTTGTAAGTCGAGGACTACCAGTACATGCCAGTATTTTGATCATGGGAACGTGGGGAATGCCGCAGCGGTTGTAAGTGTGAGGACCAGTTCTAAGCCCCATTGTAATTTGGAATAGTCACTAAGGGAACGGTCATAAACCGAGGACTATCTGCAAAAAGCACCTTGCAGGGCAGGGCTTCTCCTCCTCCTCCTCCTCCTCCTCCTCCTCCTCCTCCTCCTTCACCCCATTCTCCAAGATCTTTTTACCGTTTTCCATTGCTTCTCACCATCCTGGATTTCTCTCCAAATTTTCGTTCCAGGATCCGGATGTCCGCTTATCCAAAGCGCTCTCCTATGCTTTGCGCCACGGGGCCGAAAAGATGGGCCTCCACATGTCATCGGGTGAGTTGATTCCTTTAAAAAAAAAATTTTATAAAGAGTTTTCTTATTTTTCAATTACAAAAATAAACAATCCATTTTTCCTTATGCAATGTGTCATCTGGGTGCAAACATCTCTGTGCCACATCTTTCGCCTTTCTTCTTTCTTCTCCTCCTTCCTTTCTCCTCCTCTTCCTCCCCCTCCCCTTCTTCTTCTTCTTCTTCTCCTCCTCCTCCTCCTCCNTCTATCTATCTATCTATCTATCTATCTATCATTATCATCCTTCGGTCTCTCTATCCAAATATTCTTCTGCTGAGTAATTCTTTTGAAACGCATCCTTCGCATTGCTTCGTCATCGTCTGCTCTAAATACCCACAAACTCTTTTGGGCGTTCCCAAGTCTGAAGCACCGAAGACAAGGATGCAAAGAAGCAAAAATCCCAGGAGGAGGAAAAATAAAATAAATTAAAAAAAAAACTTTCTTCGGTGGAAGGAAAACCATCTTCGCGTCGAACAGGCTGGGGGGATGAAATAAAGAAAAGACATTTGAAGAAGCAAAAAAAAAAGAGAGAGACGGGAATGGCACTTTTCATTAATTGCTCCCATTTCAGCTGCCGGTTTGAAGAGGGGGGGGGTGTATTGTACTTTGGGGATACAATGGTCTTTGGGAGTTGGGATAGTAGGTGTTTTTTTTTTAAATTCCTCTAATATTCAGCTGTTTTTGTCCTTGAAATGACTTTCCGGAGATTGGGAAGCAGGACGCTAGGTTTAACCATACCAAGAAGGAGCAAAGGAAGGCAAGAGTGACCCCCAGTGGCTGTCTGGGCATAAGGCTGTATTTTAAAAAAAAATACTATCCTAAAATATAGACAGTCCTCGACTTACAACGATTCATTTAGTGACCAAAGTTACAGCAACACTGGGGAAAGTGCCTTAGGACCATTTTTTTGCATAATCCCCACCCCTCCCATGGTCACGTGATCAAAATTCAAACCCTTAGCAACTGATTCCTGTTTAGGACTGTCGCAGTGTCAGTCACGCGATCCGCTTTCGCGACCTTCTGAAGATCAAATAGGGAAGAGGATGGATTCACTTAATAACTGCCGTGATTCACTTCGTGGTGACCCAAGAAGGGCCATAAAATGGGGCAAAATTCACGTGACGAGTGTTTCTCGCTTGGCAACGGAAATGTTTCGGTCGTATGTCGAGGACCGCCTGTGAACCCTAAGGTCACCAACGGAGGTCACATGATCCCAGGATGCCACAGCTGTCACAGACACCTGACAGGTTCCCTAATTGTGATCATGTATGGGGCAGCCTTGCCTACTCTTAAGTGTGAGGACCAGTTGCAAAGTTACACCTTTAAAAATTAACAGAGTCGGAAGGGACCTTGTAGGTCATCTAGTCCAACCCCGCCACCCAAGCAGGAGACCCTATGCCATTTCTGACAGAGGGCAGTCCAGTCTCTTCTTGAAAGCTTTCCAGGGATGAAGCTCCCACAATCTCTGAAGGCAACTTCTGTTCCGTGGGTTGATTGTTCTCCCTGCAAGAAAATTCCTCCTTATTTCCAGGTTGAATCTCTCCTTGGTCAGTTTCCATCCATTCTTCCTTGTCTGGCCTTCGGATGCTTTGGAGGATAGCTTGACCCTCTTCCTCCTCTCTGGGGCAGCCCCTCAAATATTGGAAGATGCTCTCCTGTCTCCCCTGGTCCTTCTCTTCCCTAGACTAGCCAGGCCCAGTTCCTGCAACCGTTCATTTTAGCCTCCAGTCCCCTCATCATTCTTGTTGCTCTTCTCT